GATCTTCACATATTTAAGTCATTCTTTCCTTTTATATTTCTTTGATATGAGATCTTAATTCTTCTTCTTCACACTCATAAGGGAAACATACTTCAACATGTTTGAATCTAATGTAGAGGCACCTAAATCATGGAAGAAGTTCTTGTATATGAACTTTTGGTTGATTTATAGCCAAACCACACAAGACAAAACATCAATTTTTAATTAGGGGGAAAAAGAGCAAAGATTAGGATTCAAACCTCAGTATCTGCCAAAATTTTCTTCTAGAGGGTCATAAGAAATTTTTCCAGGAAGGAGCTCCTCAAAATCTTTCTTAACTTTGTTCCTTAAGGGGGGAGTGGCAGAAGCCCCTTTTAACAAAATCCTGAATGGTAGTTCCTCTGGTGGGTCAGGAGACTTTATGATATCCTTAAATATGTTTATTGCATCGGCAGGAAATCCATCTCTCAAGAAGCCCCTAATGACCTCAGTGTAAGTTTGAGAATCAGGGAACAAATTTTCCTTCTTCATACTTTCCCACTACTTCATTGCTTCATCCATAAGTCTTTGTACAAATATACATCTGGCTTATACCAGTCTTGCTTTCGGATCACCTCAAAAACCTGAAAATTTATGGAGTTACAAATAAGCCCAAACAAAGATAATATACATATACAGAAGATCAAGCACAATAAAATTTCTTAAATTTTCATCATAAAACAAAAGAAAATAACATGTCACTTCCAATAACTAAATTGAGCTACACAGCAGAACCAAGGGAGAATATATGCTTAAAAAGGAAAATTCAAAACAGTCCATTTGATGAAATGTAACAAACAGTTGATGGGTGTCGCAAAGATACTACCTTAACAGCTAGAAAAGTCTATTCTTGGCACTCAAGCTCAGTTAGAAAAAGGCAATCATGTCCATCTTCAATTGATGAATTTTTGAAGCTTTTTCTTCATCGCCCTTTAAACCCAGTATCACAAAAAGCGCCTCTTTGCCTATCAGCTTCTTCCCTCTCTGATGGGGTTCCCTTTGGCCTCCCATCATTTTTCAATTTATTCCCTTTAGATATAGCTAATTACGTTTTTTTATCTTCCTTTTTAAAGAAACATAGAAGTTAGTCTTCAATGTTCATTCTATTATTCTCGGAGTGACCCCACCCCGGCCCAGGTGCAACCCCAATCCCAGATCTCTCCCGCCCATCAGCGTATGTTTTTCTAGTGGAAAATTATTAATATATTTTTTCCATTAAACACCCTTGTCAATATATATTTAATTATTAAAATATAATATAAAAATAATTAATTCAGTTAATTTTATATTATATATAATTACATTTTTATATTTATTTATTTTTAATTTTATATTATAAAATAATATTTTTTTAATAAATATAATGTGTAATATGCCAAATCAAATAAATGTCATTTTTTAGTGGAAGAATCTAGTTGGAAAAAGTTTTTCTTTTTCTTTTTCTCACCTTTGTGCTAGCCATAAAATTGCGGTTAGAAT